ATACAGAAATCAGGCACAGAATACACGAACATGAGAGAACGCACTAGGTTAGTAGGGTAAGAGGGCGTAGAGCGTCTCAAGCATTCATATAAAATCAATATTTTGGCTGGTTTGGCGTCACTATGCCCAACCCTCCGGCTAAAAAATCTTGTGAACTGGTTCTCCCCACCTCTCAACGGCTAGTCCTACGCGCTAACCCTTGTCGCAGCGGACATCGCACGAACACAGCGTCTGTACGGCTCCCACGCGCTCTCAGGCGTCTGTAGAGTCTGCGTGAGTGGAAGAAGGAGGGAAGGGTGTCTCAGAAGATGAGAAATTTGCCATGATTTGCAGCAGGAAGTTCCGACAAGTCCAACATGTCCTCCCGCTAATTATGGCGAACCTTCCCGGCATGCAGCAGGCTGCACAGGCGCGCTCGGCCCACCCAACATGGCGGCCTCCAGGGAGAGTGGAGCGCAGGTTTGGGGGAAAATCCTACATTTTAGCCAGTTTTCTCAGCAAACTTTGAAAAACTCGGACAATTCGTGAATAAGGACAACACAAACTAACGTTTGAGATGAAAATATCGGCATGACATTCATTCTCAGTGTTCTTAATTAGGTTTAAACGTAACTCAGTGTTTCCTATCATTTTCAACCCCAACACACATCACCACATATTCCTCAAGGCAAGATGTCTGAGCACTAACGCAGTTGTAGTATAGACAGTTTTACGTTTTTTAAAGTTCCTTCAACAAAATTTGCTGACAATAAGTATAAGAATCCAGGAAGAGGCTACTGTTTATGTAAAAAAGTTATAACTAGAGCTGTGTACCTAAACAAATTTTAGGTACAGGTACAGGTACAGGTACACAGGTTTAGGTACAGGTCCGGACCTGAACCTGTACCTAAAAATTCGACCAATTTACATGCTCTTCTGAACTCTTTCAATAGCAACAAAAACATGTATACACTTGATAGTTAAGGTTTAATTTTGGTTTATGGAGAATGCTCAGATAAAATATAGGCAAAAGTAAGGTATTATTGTTTTCATGAACACACTGTCCTTACATTGGAACCCATTGGCGACCAGCTATTTCCACATTTAAGGTCACAAATAGGCATAAAATTGGTGTGAAATTGTTTAGGTACAGTACCGGTACGGAGGGATTAGGTATTTTGGACCTGTACCTAATCAATTTTTCCGGTACAGTATCGGTACTGAGTATCGGTACACAGCTCTAGTTATAACGGTTAAATCTATTAGCCATTTTAATTGGTAGGACATTGGTAAGTTGTGTGTTTTAAATTTAGTAACAATGTCTGATGAAAACCGAAGGCAAAATGCTGTAGCATTAAATGATGATTAAAAGAAGGAAATCTGACCCCATTTGCAGTTGCCCTTGCCTCCCGGATCATCCTCTGTATCACATCGATGGATCCTTTCCGTGTTGTTACATGTGTTTGTACGGATTTTACAATGAT